AAACAATTTAAATCTAAAATAAAAAAAATTATAATTTGTAAGTATACAATATAATATATAAATAATGATAGAAGGGCGAAGTGTTTGAGACGAAATGGAAGACCACTTACGTGGCAGCCGCATATCTAGTTAACGTGTAATTTGTCAAGTTTAATCAACTACGCGGCATGATGCATAATCAACAGATATGTAACTTTTTAAGTTAAAAAATATTTTTAATTTGTAAAGAAGGTTTTGTAATCGTTTTTAACTTCCAAAGCAAGAATCCATTCAATCGTATCAAACACAATCTCAACAAGTAAGGAGAGGAGATAAATTAATTAGAATCACATCAAATTCAATTACAATTGGATGCAAAATCTAGTTTAATGATGGCCATAGTGGGGCAAGATCCAAACTCAAAATTGATTTCTTTTGATATAAGCAACAATAGTTACAATACTCAAAAGTTCTTTATATTATTATTAATATAGGTTAAATCCTTATTTTAATGTTCTATTTTGATAAAAAAAAAATTTTTTGTCAGTTTTTTTCACTTAAAAAAGTTTTTTTTGTCCCTAAAATTTACAATCCAACTCTATTTTAATTCATTCATTGAGTTTTGCATACTTGACATGTTAGATGATGAAAATTTCAAGTAAAAAGATAAAAAATGAGTTAAAAAGATGTTAAAATTTGCTTCAATTTGGTTCCTCTCCTTAAAAAAAAAAAACTTTTTTTGATCCATCTTCTTTGAAATTTTTGTTACCTAACATCAAAACTTAACAAAAGGACTAAAAAAAGATCAAATTTCAATTTGTTAGTTTTTTTTACTTAAAAAAGTTTTTTTTTTGTCCTTAAAATTTAAAATCCAACTCCATTTTAATTCATTCATTAAGTTTTGCATACTTGACACGTTCGATAATGAAAATCTCAAGTAAAGAGATAAAAAATGAGTTAAGAAGATGTTAAAAATGAGTTAGGAGGTTTTTAAAATTTGTTCCATTTTGTTTCTTTTCCTTAAAAAAAAAATAAAAAAACCTTTTTTGGTCCATGTCCTTTGAAATTTTCATTACCTAATATCAAAACTTCACAAAAGGACTAAAAAAAGATCGAATTTCAATTTGTTAGTTTTTTTTACTTAAAAAAGTTTTTTTTTCCTAAAATTTAAAATCCAACTCCATTTTAATTCATTCATTAAGTTTTGCATATTTGACACATTAGATGATGAAAATTTTAAGTAAATTGATAAAAAAATGAGTTAAAAAGATGTTAAAAATTGCTCCAATTTGGTTTCTCTACTTAAAAAAAGAAAACTTTTTTTGGTCCATCTTCTTCGAAATTTCCGTTACTTAACATCAAAACTTAACGAAAGTACTAAAAAACGATTGAATTTCAAACTTTGGAGGATTAAAAGGAGACTTTTTTTAAGTAGACAAACTAAAAAGAGATTTTGTTGTCAAAATAAAGTAACCAAATTAGGGTTTTAACTTTTAACAGCTGATTTATTGATTTTTTTCCAATTACACAATGTAGGGATTCAGATCCAAAACCCAAGCACAAGATCTCATCGGAAAATTTCTCTCCATTCTTCTAATCTTTTTAAGGGTCTTCCTAGGATTCAAAGAGGAAACAAAAGAGGAAATCAGAGAGTTCCATAGATAAGATCCATCAATAGATTCTGAATCCGCTTCTTGCACGTCTTTGCTTTGGCCCATTTGGATGGTCTCTTCTTCCGTGTCCTGATTTTAGTTCGTTAGGATTTGGTGGATAAAAAGACCAAAGTACAACTCTAGAATTGGGGACGATTAAAAGTTTTTAATTTCATAAATTGAGTATGCATTTCTTAATATATAACAATAGAAACACGTGATTTCCCACGTAAGTGATTCTCTATTTTGTTATAAAAAATTTATTTATTTTTATCATTAGTCATAAAATATATATATTGTATCTTATAATTTAAATATAAAATGTCTTATTTTTATTTAAAAAGTTACTAAAATACTACTTAGCAGTGGGCAAATACGAACCCCTTTTAAAAAGCTCATTTTATAATTTTTATTACTCTGTTTCCCACCATTAAATTACAAAATTCAAAAAGTTTGAGCTTGTATATGGGAACGCATATTTGCTTTTAACGTATGGGTTCTTCCGTTTAAAAAATACAAAATCCGACGCTGCAAAGCCAGTTGATGACATACCGTTCGTCGTTACTAAAGATCATTCTCTCTGAGAAGAGAGAATCCGAAACTTTCCTTCCTCATCTGTACATTGCATACGCATAGAATACCGATTCCGAGCAAGCAAAAGATCAAGTGAGACACCTGCAGTTGTTGGTTCTTGTCTTCCACACAACAGCAGATGAGATGAGACCAAACTGGGAGCTCAAGAACTGCTGCAACCACGATCAAGTGGTGTTTCTCGTCACAGTAGCTGTCTGTACTGTTGTTATCCTCGCGGTATGTCTCTTTCTTCCACTCTCAGCTTCACTGCAGCTTCTCCTTTTTGTCTCATTTACCAAACCCATCTCACATTGATTAAGAGATTGCCAATTTTATCTCGAAGAATTCATTGTTGTGGACAATTAGGAGCAAATGGGTTTTAGCTTAGAGAGCATAAACTTAAGATGTTAGTTCTAGCTGAAAGTCTTTGGCCAAAAAAGTCTAAATTTTGAAGTAGATTAGTTTGACTTATGAAAACCCAAAAAAAAAAAATATATATAGATTAGATCTATGCTTTTGATTCCTGGACTTGGGTAATTGCAAAGCCTATTCTTTTTTAAGTTGATTCAGACTGTTTTAGTTCAATCCTTAATTCTTCCAACTTTGAATTGGTCAGAAGTTTTGTGCTGGCATTTCATAATTAGCTTAGTACATCAATTCTTGGATAGTTATGGAATTATGCAGATCAAAATCTCAGTAAAAGTGCCAATAGTTTCTAGGCATTCTGATGCATTAATGCATTTTAGATGCACTCTCTTGTGGTTTAAACTTTTCTTTGTGTTTGTAGCTATGGAGGACAGTGCTTCTGAGACCCTTCAAGCTTGTCACTGTATTTCTTCATGAGACTAGCCATGCTATTGCTTGTAAGCTTACATGTGGTCATGTAAGTATTTCCTTGTAATCCTTTATAGTTTCTTGGAAAATTCACAATATCAGTGTTCGTTGATGACTGAATGCCTGGGTTCAGTGATGCTGCACCTTGATATACTCTATTATTTCACTGCAGGGGTTAGTATGGTTAAAGAAAAGACTTCCAACCCTGTAATTAACACTTACCATAAAATTTAAAGGGATATAGTCCACTTACACTGGATTTTGTATTTTTTAAATAATTTGTTATGTGAAGTTTGCTTAACAGTGTCAATACTTAGCTTAGCTGTCAAGATGAATCAGGAAAGAAGTGTTGCCATGAGAAGAACGGAATTGCTTAACTTGAAGTAATACTATTTTTTGCTGGGAGGATAAAAACTGGGTCCCTCTATCTACATTTATTATTTTAACAAGCAACAAGCCAACAAACTTAGCATATAGGTATAGCCATCAAGTGCCCCATCAAGTGCCTTATCATACTTGGAATGCAAAGACTTGACTCCGTCAGCAGCTGCGTAAAGCTTTTGTGCATGTCTAGTGTTCTACTACCAATCTCTGTGATACATGATTTTCATGTAGCAGAGTAAATTTGAAACAAGAATAGAACACTGGAGAGTCAGAGAAACTCCATATGATATATATATATATAAAAGCAATAACTCAACTTAGCAAGATTTCACTTTGAGAAATTGGCCTTTTAATTCCTATCATTTATCTTGTTGATAGTCACCATGACATTGAAACTCAAGAAAATGGTAAATATCTGATTGGTCCAGGCGTCATATATAGAATAGAAGCTTCTAGTACTGAGGGTTTACCAGATATATAGGTCCTTCAAGGATCACTGGAATGTTGTGAATTCCTAATTGATAGTAAATGCTGCAGGAAAGTACCATTTGTCGCCTACAATAATTTATTCAATGTGATTTTATACTTGATTGGAAATGTTTAATCTATGACTCATGTATTTAATCTTTGTGGATTTACTCTTCCTTTAGATAGTGGTCTGATGTGATTGGAAAAGCAATTCTTTTCTTTTAAACATATTTAATATTTTACGTTTCTCCAAGACCTTTGTTAGTTTAACGATTGTGAATCTCTTTTTTTTTTTTTCAATTTGCTTCTATATTACCTATGTTTAGGATTGTCAGAAAAACAAAATATATTAGCTCATGGGTCAGACTCATATGAGTACAGCCAATTCCATGCATGGACTACTTTGGTTTAGTGTACTGTCTTTAACCCAGGTCAATGCTGTGCACAGTGGTGATTACCTAGCTTTGCAGATGTTACTGTATTTTTTATGATACTAATAAGGTTTTGCATGCAGGTGGAAGGGATTCAGGTTCATGCAGACGAAGGTGGTACAACACAAACTCGTGGCGGCATATACTGGTTGATCTTGCCTGCTGGATGTAGTGTCCTTTATCCTTGACCATGTAATTATGAATAGATGAATGCGCACATCATACACATTCTATTTTAGCTTTTCAACCCTGCAAAGTGTGGATTTTTTAAATATATGCTTGGGTGTATCGTCTTATACATTGACTAACATGTCAATGTATCCTGATGTACATTTAACCTATGGGCTCACTATTAGTTGTCTTAGAGAGGTCAGATCTATATTGTTGAAACTGATCAATTTTTGGCCTCTTGTCCACTTCAGATCTTGGTTCATCTTTCTGGGGAATGGTTTTGATACTTGCGTCAACAAATCTTCTTACTGCAAGAATTGCTGCAGGATGTTTCATTGCTGCTTTACTTCTTGTACTCATAATAGCTAAAAATGTAAGCAGTTATCAACATATCTACCATATTCTAATTTCGAGCTCATAATTGAAGTTTCATCAGTGTTTGCCAGAATGTGCCTGCTGTAGTATGTGTATCTCATTTGGTTCTTCACAAAAATTCAACATAAAGGGAATAACAAAAATCACATTCTTTTTGGAAACATGGAGACAGCATTATGTCTCTATAGGTGACAAAATGTCCATTCAGTGACATAAGAAATAACAAACATTATTCATAATGATTTAGCTTGTTGTTCCACTCTTTCTTGACCTCAAAAAGATCTAGTCTGTCATACTATCATTTTTCTACATCTCAAGGATGACTGATCATCTTCTCTGTTGTTTTTCAGTGGACACTTCGGGGACTTTGTATAGGTATGTATTTACTATTTTGGGAACCTACTGAGTTGCATAAATCTGGTTGATATTTAACATATGAATGACATTGAGATCTCTCTGTTGAGATATCAGGGTTTGTTGTTTTTCTTGGTGTTGTCTGGATTCTGCAAGAAACTACTAAAGTTCGTATACTTCAATACATTATTTTGTTCATTGGTAAATACAACTCTGCCATTTTACTTTGCATGCTTTTTTCTTTCTCTTTTATTTCAATAATAATGAAATATAAGGACTTTACAGTTTGCTTTATAATCAATGCAGGCGTAATGAATAGCTTGTTTTCAGTCTATGGTATGGATTTGGAACAAGGAAACATTCTCACTTACCCTTTTGTTTTTTCTATGAAAATACCAAATTGCTGATGCTGTTTATATCTTTGTGATGGTATAGATATCTATGATGATTTGATATCCCGCAGAGTTCACTCTAGTGATGCTGAAAAATTTGCAGAAATATGTCCTTGTCCATGTAATGGCGTTGGATGGGGTGCCATTTGGTAAGCATCTTACCTTTGAGATAAAGATTCTATTGAGTCTTGTGAATTGCTATTTCGTGTCACTCCCTAATTTCAAACTCTACTGGCAGGGGTTTAATCTCATTCTTGTTTCTTTGTGGAGCAATGTATCTAGGTCTTGTAATATTGTCTTGATTCTTGAGGTATTTCCAGTTTCGGCCACTTTTCTGGTCGTTCTCTTCAATTATTCCATGTTTTCAGAGCATTCCCTCCATAGGATACATATCAAAGTTGTATTGGATAATTTAAGAACTTACATTAGGGTGCAAGCACTGCAAACATTTTTGTGAGAAAAATGAGCTTATATATTGGAAACTTTGCCATGGTTATCTAAATGTGAAAATTAAGTTATCCTTGTATACGTTTCTGATTTCTATCTATATTCAGTTAGGTGTAAAATGGCCTTCTTTGCTTAGCTTTGAATTTAATTAGAATTAGTCTTGATCGGCATGATTGCATGTCTGCAATTGTCCATGCCATTGTAGAAGTAGAATGTGAAGAATTTCAAGAACGTCACTTTATTATTCATTTTAAGTAGGCATCTTTATCCTTTTCTTAGAAAGTTGGTTAGTCTTGGTGTTAGTCAACTAGCTATGATTATGGATGGGGAGGCCCATACTAGAGAAATGCGACCTTTTAATCATACCAGCTTACAAAAGACGTTTCAATGAAATTCCAGGAGTGGTGAGGTCTGAGTCGAGGTCTTTCCCAGTCAAGTCCCAACATTCCAGTAAGCCTAAGAGTTTATTCTATTCTATTCAGCTTCGAAATAGTATATGACTGATTAGAAGCAAAACTGAGTAATGGAAGAATCCAAATCTGGAAGGAGTCTGAGAGAGTCTAGGGATGAAATTTTGCCATTACTGAAGATTAAATTTTAAAATAAAAGAAAAATAATTTATTTAAGATATGATTTAACACTTACCATTTAAAATATGAACTTATTTAGTATAATATTAAAATTATTTTTATTTTTATTTTTTTAATAATTATTTATTTATTTTTTAATAGTCTTAATTCAATTTTTTGACTTTTAAAATTTTTGGACATAAATTTTAAATAAAAACTTAATTATTTGTATGAATAATAATTAAAAAATTTTTATTACTAAATCAATTTTTTTTTAATTATTAGGTATATAATATGTTAAATTTTTATTTAAAGTTTATATCTGAAATTACTAAAAATAAATAAAGAGAGTATAATAATATGATTTATTCCATAAAAAAATTTAAAAATACTAATAAAACTAAATATTTTTTTATTTGGAGTTACTAAATTTATAAAAAGTAAAATTCACAATCATACAAGTCTTAGTTTGTACCCTAATAAATGAATCTTCCAAGAAGACTCTACACCAATAATTTATCTGAAATGTTCTTCACGTGAGGAGCGGAGTGTTCACACTTTATTCTGTAAGTGGGAATATCGTGAAATGTATTGTGTTCGACCCCAACTCCTTTTCTCCCATCCTTGTTAAAATTATGTAATGATAGTAATAAATAATTGTCTTTATTTAAAAAAATAATATATATTTTTTTTAAACAGGAGGGAATGAGAGGGGGAAAGGAAGGGGCTGCACATTGTAGTTTTAAACTCTGATCAAAACCATGAATTTAAGTGCACCCGATCAAAATAGCCGAAGCTGTGGGTGCTAAAAAAAAAATAATAATAATAATAATTTATATGAAATGACTTCAATAATATACATCTCATGTTTTGGATTAACTTTTTTGTTTGATTTAAAGTCCCATTTTTGTTATTTCTATATAAATATTTTTTTCAAAATGATTTTTCTTGCGTTGCTGGTTCTACTTAGAATGAAACCTCCAGAATTTTGTAACAGCAAGCAGCCACACATAGTTTTAGCATTTTTTTGTTTTGTAAAACAAAGTTTTGAGTATTAAGTGCTTATAAAATTTTTTAAAAGTTAAATTTAATTTTTTTTTCTAATAAAATTTTAAATGTATAACAGAGTAAGTTGTTTATAAGAAATCATTGTGTAAATTAGAATGGACAATCCCAGGAACTTGAGATAGATTTATAGAGGTAAAAAGTGCATCAAACGGTTAAAATATTGCCTCCCGCTAATATCATCTTGCAGCTGGAAATTGATTGCGTGTTAGGCTTCTAATTTTACCATGTAACTTTGTTTTGAATTGATTTTTTTTCATTTAGCTGTTAAAGTACTCCCAAATATATTTATATACAATTTAAGACTAATTTTTTTAAACCCATCAAAGATAAATTATTCATAAAAAATTACCTTTTCATTAACTATCCAAAGAACATTATAAAAAAAAAAATTTAACTTTTATGAACATTAATTTCTGTGAATATAAAATGTTATTTACTTTCAAAGATGAACTATATAACATATTAATAACATATTCTATAAGAAGAAAAAATTCTAATAATTTTTTATATTAATTACACAATAAGAAACAACATTTCTCCCATCCCTTAGTTCATTATCCTTATATGTTATGCAATTTAAATTTAACATTTTTTATTTTATACAAAAAAAATTATTATTAAAGAAATTACTATTAAATTACTTAAATTATAAAAAAAAATTACAGTAACATAAACCTTAAATACAATAAATAAACAAAAATAACTAAGAAATGTAATAAATTAGAAGATGTATAGACTTATCAATGAAGATTCTAGAATTGAATTTGGTATGAAAATTGTCCTTTCACCTACATGGTTCTGCTTAAGTAAGTTCGTTCTTCTTTACTTTGACCATGAAATTAGCGGTTTTTTCCAATCCAAAAAGTTAGCGATTATTGTTATTGATAATTCCTCAAATTGGACAACATTGCTAACCTCAAACTTCAATAACAAATGCCAACCACATTCGTGCTCCAGTGATAACAGCTCACTGGTGTGGCACCTCAGTCCTGACTTTTAAGTCCAAACATTAACAATAATCCCCCAATCCCTAATATGTAATTGTAATATAATTGCTTGTTTCAAGAAAAAGAAAAAAAATTCAATACCAAATAGTTTTGTACGGCTCCACCATAACAGACTCCATATTTGTCACTGACTCCAGCATTTTCACAAACTTAGAATATTTTATGATGTACTGTTTTTTGCATCAGATAATGGCCGCTTCTGGGGGAGTCAATTGTACTGGTTTTCAGGTTCATAAATTCCTGTTTTCTACTAAAAAAACAAAGATACAGATTCATATTTAAATTTGAACCAACTATATAAAGTCAAATAACACCACCTTAAAACGTTAGAATCCTACACCAAGGCAAACAAAATCCATCATGACATCTTCCTGTTTGCTTAGAAACTTGTAAATGTCAAAATTTTAAATACTTCAATCGGAAAAGTAGTTCTTTGGAGGACAAAGAAACACATAAGAGGTGCATTGCACAGAAAAAACTTCCTATGCCTCTGTTACCGGAAACTCAAACACGACATCCTTGCCTGAAAGCTTCCTGTAAACTGCAGCAAAGGTCTCTAACTTGTACTCTGTGTTGTTTCGCTCCTTGGGGTCCAAAAATACCTAACCATTGGGCAAGGTCAGAATGAAATGAACATTGACGTCTACCAAACAAATAGAATCCCTTTTGAATATGATAATGAAAACAATGATCATAATCATATTATAACAATTAACAAGATAAATAATCCATATAAACCTATTTTTTCAAGATTAAAGCAATTTCATTACAATGGAGTGGTTTACCTTCATTATCTTTGATCCATCAAGTCGGTACCTAATGCGCTTCCCAACAATCTCAGCAGGTAAAACAACATCCTCCAGCATTGCCTCATGAACAGAAGTCAAAGTGCGACTTCGTGGCCTTTGAACAGCTGAACCTTTCTTTGGAGGCCTCAATATCCTCCTGGTAGCAAGGAGAATCACATCCTAACACAGATGTACATAAGTTATAATCAGGAACAAACATATCAAAGTCATTCCACATAATCAACAATATTACTGGTAGACAGTATGCTATTAGAGAAAAAGCAGTTAAACTTCCTCACGAAAAAAGGGGGAAAAAAAAAAAGCAATTTAGACAACTAGTTTACTCAAGTTCACGTTTACCTCCTAGCAACAACATATTCAAGTGTTCGGAAATAAATTTTCTCAGATGCTAAAACCAGAGTCATTTTTGGCTGGTACATCAAACCATGTGGTTACAGTCTTCTTTAAGAAGTAAATTTATTTTGAACCCAAAGTTACAAGCACCAACAGTACTTAGGTTCACAATGCCATAATGCACTTAACCACACTTGTCCATGAAAATATCATATATAACCAACTAAAAGACAAGCATGACATTCCCAAACAAACAAACAGAAATCAATAAATTGCACAGATCAAGTTTTATTTCATGCTAACTAGTGAAGAGAATCAAAAGACACTGTGCTTTGACATCTAATTCATTTATTGTCAAAAACTGAAAAAAAAAAGTTTGTTTAAGGATCAGAAAACTTGTAATACAGTAGAACACTTAGTTGTGCTCACCTTCCCACTAAACTTCTTTTCAAGCTCCCTCACAAGCCTAACATGAATCTTGCGAAAAGCTTTCCTCAACCTGTAGGGGACATGAATAACAACAGCCTTCCGATTCCCAGATACATCAATTTGACTGCATATGAGAGGAAAAATATCCCTCATTCAGTGGATAATCCCAAACTATTCAATCACCAACGCCTCTAAATCATACTTATTACTTACACTGCTGAATTTATGTAGAGATCCTTCAGCTCACTCTTCAGCTCCTGGTTGGTATTCTCCAAATCAAAGAGTGCCTGTTAAACACACACCTCAGGACATGGTTACATGCAAGAAGAAATCACAGTCATGAATTTCAGATCTTGAAAGTACCACCGTATAACGAGAGAATCTTACAAACCTGGGCAACTGACTCCTCAAAGTCAGTTGGTTCGGCATCCTTATCCTTATGGATCTTCTTCCTTGAAGTATACATCTTCACAAGCTGGCTTCTGCTGTTAATATGAAACACGAAAGAAATGAGCAATAGATGGCATCATCAGATACCCAAAAGTTAACCAAAGCTACACAAATTTAAAAAATAAAATAAAATCAAGCATTTTGGAGAAATCCAACGGATCCACACAATACAATTCAAGGAAACAATTTGAATAATATATAATGCATACTCAGTGCACCCACAATGCAGAATCAGAACAATCTACAAACCTATTAAATAAATCTCCAAAAACCCATTTTCCTAAAATCTCTAAAACCCAAATAACAAACAGAAAACTTCAAAAGGCAAAAACTTTATAAATACAGAGATAAGGAGAAATCTTTATTTCATAATGAAAAATGCAAGAAAAAAAAAGACAGAATGGATCTTGAGAGACCAATACATTCTAGATGGCTTTCAACACAAAGAAAAATTCTTCCCTAGATGGTATTGTTTTGGGTTTGTAAAGAACAGGAAGAGGGTCGCCGGAGAGTGGCATACCTGAGACTGAAGAGAGCGGCGGCTCAAATGACAGGGGATGCGTTCCCGTTTTCTACTTGGCAAAAACCCTAGCAGCGAAAGGAAGAACCCTGGGAAGCTTTAATATCAGCTGTTTGGGCCCTTAAGTTTTGGGCCTCACTAACCTTTGTTTTACTCGAGTTTTGGATGTGCTTTCGGCCCACCCCAATATCGTCTTTTGTAATTGTAATATGGAGAGGAAATTCAATTGGTGAGCTAAGGCCCGTTTAAACAGAGGCCTTTCTGGCCCGTTTTCAATTTGGGAGCTACGGCTTTTTGTTTTATTATTATTATTATATTTATTTTAGGTTGCATAATTGATTGGAAGTAAAGTAATGCGCTCTTATTCCTTAATTAGCTGTCTCCTATTTATTAACAAACTCTACCTATATATTATACCATTTGAATTTAAAATCTTTTATTTTTTTATGTACTAATCCTTTAGTATCTAAAACATATATTAAACCCTAATTAATTTAGAATCAAATCAGGTCGAACTGTAAAAAAAAAAAGTTTTACCGAGTTTATTTTTTTATTTGCAAAACTCGAATTAAAAACTCAAATTAAAAACTTTATTTAGGAAATCAAGTTCTTTCTACTCGAATCAATAACTCATTGATAAATTATTATTATTTTTTAAAAAAAGATATTACTATTGAGATAATACGGTTGTTTTCTGAGTAAATGCATCTTAGAAAGGGAACTATGGCTTTATTCTTGAGGGTCATGTTGATGCTAACCTTGTTGGGGTCCGGCGACTAGGCTTGGTGGTAGGTAGCAGTTGAGTCGGCAACCAAAGTCTAAACCAGTCACCGACCCTTTCCCCACCGCCCCATCCTAGCGTAAAGAGAATGAAAAATAATGAAAATGATGGCTTCAATGTCAATTTTAATCCCTCAACTTTAAAGTTTTGTATAATTTTTATTTTTCAACTTTTTTATGTAGTTTTTTTTGTCCTTTAATTACAAAAAAATATTTTTTAAAATTATTTTATCAATTAATTTGTTAAATCTATTCATATATATTTTTAGTTCCTAAATTTTTAAATTAAGGGATAGAAATTATGTATATATTATAAATTAAGGGACTAAAATGTGTATATTTAAACAAATTTAACGAATTAACTGACAAAAAAATTAAAAAATATATTTTTCATAATCGAAGAACTAAAAGTATATATAAAAAATTAAAAGACAAAAACTATGTAAAATTCTAAAGTTGAGAGATTAAAATTGACATTTAACCAAAATGATGTTTGACAACTTGTCCTTACTAGACCAACTGTAATATTATGATTTTTTGAAGAGTTATTTGTTTTGTATTTTAAATTATAATATAGGAACAGTTAGATGAAAATTCATCTTTATTCAAAAATTTAAATTATAAAATTTATGTACCTTAAATTGCACCATATTTTCTTGTTATTTTGAATGAGTAATACTCATATTGATGAATCTCACCTATTTAAAGGTCAAAATTTTGTTATCCAAAAACTGAAATGTAATTGTCAGCTTTCCCAAATAGGGCCATGCATATTTGATTTAACGTTAGTTTAGTATAAGGGTTAAAATTCAATAATTAGTAGATAACAGGTAGTTGATAGTAGTAGCGAATGGTGGGTGGTAGATTGTTAAAAGTGGATAGCAAGTGGTACATGATAGATTCGATTAATATAACTGTTTGAATATTATATAATAATTAATAGTTATACAACGTTAAATGACTAACAAAAAATGTTTAAAAATAATTAAATATATTTTTTATTGTTAAAATTATTAATTTTATAAAAATAATAATAAGAAAATAAATAAATAAAATAAATTATAATAGTGTAATATAAACTCTTTTTTTAGTAAAGAAAAAATTATATTATTTTTAAATAAAAAATTTTAATCATTTCCTCTAAGTAACATATTTTGTTTATTTAGCTAATAAATTTTATGATAAATTAATATAAAAATAAAAATATAATAATCATTTAATGGTATTAAATAAAAAACAAAGTTAAAACTAATTAGATAAGTATTAATTAAAAATCGTAGCTAAAAATTAAAAACTTAAAGTGGATAAATTTATTAATAAAATTAAAAAATTTCAATTTACTAGTGGTTTAATATAAAAACCTACCTAAATTAATTTTTTTAATC